GGCGGTAGAAGAGCCCCGACGGTGCGTATCTCGGCGTGGAGAAGAAATAGAAGACCCAGATATTTCATACTGGAGCCCAGCTCGACGCAAGCTCCACCTACCCGGATCCATGACCTTAGGAGCGGTCTCGACCGAGGCCGCCCGTTAAAACAGACGACCTCAGTCCTGTCCGCAGCTATCCTCAGTCCCAAGTCGTATCGTATCCGCGCGACGATGGCTGCCACCGTGACGTCCGCTCCGCGGATGGTCCTCCCAAGCCACTTCCCAACGGTCACAAACCAAGGTATTGTCAGCGCAACACACCAGGGTGGCGTCGTCGGGAAACGAGTCCTGCAGGACCATGTTATATCCAAGGTCCCACAGGACCGGTCCTAGGACCGATCCCTGCGAGACCCGACAGTCCACCTCCCTCCGCATTAGCCTGTACCGGCCTTGATACACGATCTCCCTGTCCCGCAGGTAGGACCCGATCACCGCCCTGAGATAGGGAGGCACATTGTGTAATACAAGTGCCTCTCTAATGGCATGCCAATTCCCTCTTGGAAACTATACTGGCAGGCCGCCAGGTTGGGTCCGTCGCGGGGCAGGTGCCGGACGAGGCGGGCAGCTATGATCTTTTCGAACATTTTGCCCACCTCGTCCAACAAACATATTGACTGGTACGCGGAGGGAGACTCCGCGGGCCTTCCTTCCTTCCTCAGGAGGACTATCCGCCCTTTCTCCCACAGGTCAGGAAATAGCCCTGACCTAAGAAGCTCCGAGAAGTGACGCCCAGGGCAATTGCCCAGGCCATTCCGGGGATGCCGTACAGCCCCGGGGCTTTATTCTTCCCCCGGAGCCAACATATCACCCCAGCCATCTCCCCCTCCGTGACCCCCAGCTCGGTGGACCCGGGTGTAGTGGTCAGGACTGCTTCCCTCCAGGGGAGAACAACGTATCCACGACCGTCCCGAGAATCCAGGGATCTAGGCTCTCCGACAGTGGAGGCGTCCACGGCCGCAGCCGTCCCATCACTGTTTTATATGGGTGCCCCCATGGGTCTCTGTTTAGAGAGCCCAGGAGATCATTCCAGGCCTGGGATTTTGCCCTTTTAATGGCCAGCTGTAGGGCAACCACTTTTTGTCAGTAGTCGCAGTACAGCTCGGCAGCCCTTGCCTCATCAATTGGTCGCCGTCGACGGGCCCGGGTATATCGGCGTCGCGCGGAGACGCAGCTCTTCCTCAATTCTGCAGTCTCCGGCCACCACCAATACACCCTGCTCCTCGGGTGGACCCTGGCCTGGAGCATTGCGACGTTGCATATCGCAGTCATCGCGCACCGGAACCAGCGCGCCTTCCTCTGCCCGTCGACTGGCCCGACCGGTCTCTTCAGCCAGGCAACAACCTGGGCCGCTGCCATCAAGGTGTCTTGGTCTAACCTTTTCAGGTTCCATTGCGATGGTGGACTTTTCCCTCTTAGGCGACGAGGGGTGCCGTCTGCAGGGTGACGGAGGGGCCGATTATAATGTATCTGTGATCAGTAGCGTTTCGGCCACTACCGCCACCCTCCAGCCCGTAATACGGCACGCGGCCAGGGGAGTTGCCCACGACAGATCGACTATCGAACCCCCGTTATGCCGCACGCACGTATGGTATGAGCCCGTATTCAATAAACGGAGCTCGTCTCCCGCCACTAGCACTGGAAATTTTCATCGACATAAACTTCAATCGAAACAATGATTTGTAGTGAGATCCACCAACGAAACATGGTCAAGTGCACGCGTATCCGGTAAGAATTTTTTCGGTAAAAGTTAGAATATTCAAAGCTGATTTTCTAGGAAACAAAGCTTGATACGAACACATTTTATTTTACATTTTCGACTTATTTTTTCACATAAAATCAGCTCCTATCCGGTTATACTACCTGTTGAATGACACCCTGTATAAACAAAGGCATAATCTAAGGTTCGGAACTGTTTAGATGTTGAATAACCAAGACTCAAACTAAGTACTTGAAATTACAAAAAAATGGAATCTGATTAATCGAAGTCCTACTGTAGTATATTATTTAAACTTAGAAAAATTGAATTCCATTTTTATTTGTCAAACTGTATTTGGAATCCTCGTCGCCTGTTTAAAATGATACACCCAAACATGGAGTTAACCAATGGCGGGAATAAAAATTCAACACCCAGTGCGCGATTAAAAGCCGATAACCGCGAACAACTCAGTCTACCGAAGAAAAACACGATTATCCAGAACTCCGGAAATTTAGAAAAACATCAAGCCATCGTTTCCACGGTCTATGATTCTCTGCGAAAGAAAAGTGATACATTTTGCTGCTGAGCCAGGCAGATAGTCTGGCTAAACAGTTTTTAGGTAAAAGTTAGTTTCCCGCTCCGTCTCGCGGAAACCGTACGTTTGCCGATTCCCACAGTTAGAATTTACTTCCAAGATGATATCATGGCCAGAGCCAAGGAGTTTTTGTCGACATCTGATTTTCGTTTTCGATGACACAGGTATAACGGCGCTAGGGCAGCAGATATAGTTCGAACTTTTCTGTCATGGTGACACGTGCACAATTTAGTTTCCTCGGCCGCAATTGCAGCTCGCGCGCCGACGTGTTCATCCCTCTGAACACTCATTCCTGCAAAATAAAAGTTGCCGACCGCGCAATGAAACAGAGCACGAGGACTGGCTCGAGAAACATCCGACATTATCGCGATAATGCAGCGTCGTCTTCTGGCCAGGTCGGCACGCGGTGTATCCATTACTATTACTTTTTTATTTTCACTGTCGTACGTGTGGCCGCAGCGGAACATCCACTTTCAAAACCCTGTGTACGCCTCGCGTTGCGATCCAATGGACGCTCGTAAATTCGTCACTCCTTAACGGCGTCGTTAATAGCAAGGAAAGAAATTGAACGCCTGATTTGTCGATCGTTTTCTAAAATTGTTTTTAGATGTGAACCATTCATTTTCCGGGACGATTAACTCCACAACACGTAAAGTGGAAACATTTGATGAAAAAAGGATGGACAAAATGAAGTCAGTTATCTTATCCTGTGAACTGTTCATATATGAGTATTTAGTTTAGAATAATAGTGGTCTGACCACTATTCTTGAGTTCTTTAGAAAAAAAAAGTTTTTGTGAAGTGTTCTTGAATTAATTCAATACGAATATTACAATGATTAATATTAATAGTAAAGAATAATTATTAATAATTAGTAATAGTTGACGTCGTTAATAATATTATAATATTAATGTTCAATTTATCCAAAAATATTTCATAAAAGCTTTCTTTCTAGAGAACTCAGAAATAGAATTTAAACGATTATTATTTTGAAACATTCATATGGAATGTATATGTGTATATGTTTCTAATTTTCGTTAATATTTCTTTTAGTTTGAATGTTTAAAATCATCTTGAAAAATCACAAATATATGTACTGTTTTTCAGTATTTGTATTGAACATTTTGATTATTTCAGCTCTTTGTTTCAAGTTCAAGTTTTTTAACTTTTTTTCTTTTGAAGTTAATGTAGGGTACCGATCAAGCATATTCATGTGGTATCATACGACTACTCATCATAAACAGAAAGATGGAATTCCTCGGGAGAAAAAGAAAGTATACGATTTAAATTAGAATTGACCGTAAACGCGAGATGTGGAAAAAAAGGAGCAGGTGCAGGCGAAGGATTCCATTTAGAGCTAATGGAACGTACATGTCACAGAGTTTCCTCGAAAAGAACCAGAGCAAAAAATATCGACAGTTACATTTGTGTATGTCTTTAGTTCTGTTTCGTTTTCTCTCTTACAACGTACCCAATATTATTTTTTTCGCTTCTCAGGGAAACGAGGGAGACAGTGTCAAGAATGCACGAGAAAAATATGTTCAGTTAACTCAGAAAATAAATATAAAATGTGATCACAGATAATACGATTTTTTTTCACTTTAAAGTTGAATGAGGTTCCTATGTTTCAAATATCTTAAAATTAGATCGTGTAAAATTAAAATTTCTGAAAATACGATTAACTGTTTATGAAGTAGAGAATATTCTATACATTCAACGAAAACTGGGAACAAACGGTAATTCACCAATTAAAGGTGATTTAGTTTCGTTATAGGCTCAGGTTTTTACATGTTCACGTGATAAAATAAGATATTTTTATTTTCTTCCATGATTTTTAGCGACTGGCTACTGGCGTACCTACGACACTAAAATGCTTCGCACATTCGAAAACAAAACACGGGCAATAAACATTGGAAAGTAAAACGAATGCAAACAAAAATTGCAATAAAATAGAGTGTTTTCTGTGGTGTGTAGATACATTGGTATGTGAAATGAATAAAATTTCACAGTTATTTTTACAAAAATTCGAATATGTCCAAATCGAACGAATAGTTCGGAAATCATTGTCAGACATTAAGCTTTATCGGCCGCGCTCGCTGTGCCCGAATTTATTCGTCAATTTGTTGTATGTCAATAAGCCTGCTGGAAAGATATATAAAACACGGAGAATTGAAAGTGGTAAACAGTACCGGCACACGAAACAGAAGAACAGATTTAATTGAGCTCGATAATACCTGGAACATTTTCGCTTCTGTATACATTCAATGAAACTGTATGTAAGTTCCTGCAGAAGTTTCGGGAAAGAATGAGAAAAGTTACAAATAAGTTTGAACTAATGGTTTTATAGTTTTTCGAACTATTTCCCTTTAACATTGATCAATTTTCCATTGCGTTATGTCAGTACTTTCTGACCTTGAAGCTATAAAGCCTTACGCAAATAATATAAACAAACAGTTTAATTTCGAATTCCCGAAACATTTGCAGTAACCTGCGTATCTCACTAGAATAATCATTTTTTTACTTTATCAAGATTAACAATAATGAATAAAATTGTACGCACCTATACAACTGAAGTTTCTTCTTGCGTGAAATATTATGATTATTACTTACATTATAGTAACGAATGATTTAATATTTGAATTACAGAAATTTCTTCTGTACTTTTCCAGCAACCGAGGAGAAATTCGATCTTGTATATAGAAAGAAAACCATAGATGATAAGGATGTAGTGGTGATAACGTGCATAGCAGAAGGGTTATTTCCAGAACCCACTCTGGATATATCCATCGAGTAAGTACTCCAGCTGGCTTTCCAACCCCCGAGCATGAACTAGAGTAAACTGTCCAATTTTCTGATATTTTTAGATTTTGATAAACGTGGCGTTTCACTTATTTGTTAACAAATAAAATGCTATTTTTCGCGATACGCAATGATCACGAAATTACTTCACTAGATAAAGTACAGATAAATACTATCCAGTAAGCGCAAAAATTTTTATGAATTTCATTTAACTGACTTAATGCATTTATTCCTGCATACAGATCGTGATAATATGAAAATACAGTTGTAACAGATTTTTAATCAAATTTATATTTATATATTGAAGTTCCACTATTTATTGTTAAATTGTTATTTAGAATAATGTTATTACATTCCGAAAATGTTATCGTATTCTTGCTTCACATTGTTTCTTTATATATTCTATGGTACTTAGTAAATGTCAATTGCAAGTGGTCTTCTGAAAACGTGGACAAAAGTCATCCGATTTTAGTACCGGAAACTTCTCAGTGATAACAACAAATCCTGTGAAACTGTGCCGCAGAACTGTTATCTGAAATAATAAAACCAGTAGTACAAAGTGTGGTCGGCGACTGAGCTAAGATGAAAGTGCAAAGAATTATTATTAGTGTTTTACAAACACCTACAAGTCGCAAGACAGACATAGAAAATAACGATATAAAAGAATATGCAAAAGAGAACTTTTTAATTCATAATACACCCCTTGACGAATAATGGTCATAATAATATTTTTATTAGATTCAAACCTTTGGTAATAGGTGCGTCAGTAATCATTTGCCATATGATTAAGTCCCCAAAACGATAGTACGCGCGTAAATAAGGTTACATTGTTGGAATATCAATAAAACACTAAATGTACGACGCGGCGAATTTGAACTAATTAAACAAATTATGTTAGTCACTTTGCCCTATGAACAGCTCAAGTAACACCTGTACTCAAAGAAAAACATCATGCAGCCATAGTGGTAACGTCAATCACAAAGAATCAAAGAGAATGTGCTGCGCGTGAAATTTTCGAGCGTGCCCGTGTCAATAGAATTGCGGTTTCGAGCGAAGGAGCTCGAGCATTGTCATTTGGCGCGATTACTCGGTCGTGGTTAAAGGAGAAAATCGCATGTCCTGTTTCGGCGTGGAACGACCCCGTATATTGCATGACGTTTCCTCTTTAACGCGGCCCGTGATAATTTTGCAAACGTCGCCTACTGTTACAGGGGTCTTCCGGAAAAGCAAACAGAGAAGCCCAGCGTTACGGTGCGCAAAGATGGACTGTACGATATCTTATCACGAACGGCCTTGCTGGACGAAGATTTACCGGAAGCGGCGATTGTCAAATGCTTGCTGGGTATACCGAAGGCGAACTACAACGTTTCCCACAAAACCGTCTACTATCCCGGTTAGTATAAACGTTATTTTAATCTTTCTCCTGATCTATCTGTACCTCGGTGACCCTTATCTTTCCCCGCCGGGCCGCCACGGAACACCGGAAGTGTTCAGCGATTCGATCTCGAACGCGACGGTGAAACACGCTGGAGAAAAAAGGGTGTCGTTGGTCATTAGAGCGAAATCTAGTCTCTTGTGTCTATTAACCCGCCATGACGACATGTAACTTTGAAGTGATGCACTCTCGTGTGCCTCCAGATTTCAAAAATCTCGTTTCGTTCCATCGTTTCATGTCTTCCAGCGTCTTTTTGTTACTCCGTGTCTTCATAACCGTGAATTTTCTACATGCTTCTGACTTCAATTCCTTGCGTTTCGATGAATGTTACTCGGATTCATTTTAAATGTGCAAGTAGCGATTATTTCGTGGAATTATTAGCGCTTTCTTCTGCTTCGTCGTTTCTGTATTTTATATGTTAGGCGTGATAACGATATTGAATCCCTATTGGATTAAATAAATCTGAAATTAAAGAAAATATGCGGGAAAAGAAAATAATTGTGATTGTTACCTCAGGGGAAAGCCGCTATAAAATGCTAAGATGTAAACTAAACTAGTCTCAATGCAATATCGAATTCCTTTTGCAATTGTAATGTAAATATTTTTACGTACGTATGTACATAGGTCCAAATTCTAACTTCAAAGTTACAGATCGTCTATTTTAGTAAACTGTATTACAGTAGAATCTTTAAAAATTTTCAATCAATTGTTCATTCATACGTAGAGAATAATGTTTACTTCAGATTTCAATTGGAGAGAGTTACCAATATTTTCTTATTAGACATTCTTGCCATTCTCTTAGTTAAGTCGATAGAAAGTCACTAGTTTTCTCATGATGAACGTTGACGAAATTAAATTCTAGACGGTACAGCAGGCTCTAAACTATCAGAGAAAATATTATTTAAATAGAAAAATAGAAAATAGAGGAAAATCGTCGAAAACAATCGTACCGAGATAAATAAGGGTGCAAAGGTTCAAGAAGATCTGATAATTTACCCACCGTCGATCAATTTGTCGACAGTGGGGTCATGAGGTAGCATATGACAACACGAAATACATGAACGTCGTGTATACGTTAAAGTACACGACGGTTGTCAATATTAATTATTTTCCGGCTTGCTATCTTTTAATCTCGAGAAGTGCTTAAAATATCACTGTTGCGGACTGGCTATTAGTTTGCATTTCCCTTCCCGTCTGCAATGTTCTTTCTCTCCAGTGTGCACAGGCTTCCCAGTGCGCATAAACAAGGCATGTCAATAACAAGTTAAATACCATGGACTGTTAGCGAATTTAGATTGTGATGCGTGTGTATACAATATAGTGTGTAATATATACGTGTATATACGTGTATGCAGGCTGACCTATTTAAATGGACCCGCTCGGATATCTTCAAAATTGTAGGTGGTAGGAAAAAAATGTGTCAAACAACAATGTGGCTGTTTCAAGGGGCTCTTCATTTCGTATATGTAAGTAGTTTCTTTCTATATGAGTGTGTAAGAGACATATGAAGGTCAACCTCATTTGTTCTCATTCAATCGTGTACTTTTTAATGAACTAATTATAGATGCAGTTCATCATTCTGCATACACACCTACTAAACTACTCACTTATACCAAAAAATCATTAATTTACGACATGTCTTAATCTTAATATTAGAAAATAGTACACAATTCCCGTATAACAAACATTCAGAGAGCTGAGTATAATAAATTCTACCTATACCGTTATTCAATATTGGAATTAAGATATTGCGTAAACGCAGAACTTTTCGCTATATCGGGTCAGTACTTTTGCAGAAAAAATGATGAACTGTATCGCTCAGTGTATTAAAAAGGCATATAGTTCCAGCTAAAGAGACGAAGTTGACCTTCGCATATCGTTCACGCGTTCATATAGGCAAGAATCACTTATATGAGATGATGTGTCCCTTGAAACCACCAAACTTCTGTCTAACACATTTGTTTGTATCATCAATAGTTTTGAAGATATTCTAGTGGGTCTATTTAAACAGGTTACCCTATGTGTGTATGTATATCCTGCGGAACACGTCACCGTCAGGTTCAAAACGATATCTTCCACCGACTCGTCGAATAAAACACTCTCCACCCCCTCGCGTGCCTACACCAGCATACAATGGCGTGGACGTGCGTATGCCATTGTGCCAATATACGTATCTTTCCCTTCTCTGTTTTTTCACGGGTCTATCTTCCATGAGCCGCGGAGATACACGCGGGAAAATGTCGCACTCTTCCGCGTTTCCGCTTCCGCGAGGGAAATATTGCAACGCGACGAAACGAACATCCGTCCGGGAACATTTGGTTTCGGCCGAATGGAAGCTTTTCAGGACATTTGATAAAGTCAAACGGGAAACAAAAAAACGGGGACATAGAATGAAAGAATTGCCACTGTTGACCTCTAACGTTTCACGGCGCGAGATGGACAGAATCGAGCGAAAATTACACGATAAACGAAACATAATACGGAATTTGATGAAATTTTTGACTTGGAAAGTTCATCCGGTGACTACGCGAATATTGATTCGAATGAATGTCGCATTGTTTAAAAACTGTCGCAGTATAGACCGTCGAAATTATTCGTTTCCCGAGTAAGCGCTGTTTTCATAGATCCTTAACTATCTTTAATCCTTAGAATTATTGTCTAATCAAATTATCTCGGGCAACATTTCGCGATTAAATTGAAAAAAAATGTTATGAGAACACTCTTCGATCCGCCGATATGAAAAGATGGATATTTCTCTTGAAAGACAAGTTGTATGGGTCATTACAAAGAATTCCTTTCGGTATTCCTTATTTGAATGTATCGTTGATAATATTGCTAGAATTAGGAAGTAGTTTTGTTAACAAAAAATCAGAAGTGTATCAAAAGATAGAGCTATCATCGAATGAAACGTATCGACGTCAAGTATGTTACAAATGTACCATTTTATATTTAGGAAACGTTTAATTCGATTTAAAATTGCCCAGAAATAAACCCTACAGAATCATTACATAACATCTTTGTTCGCAGGTATAACGTATCTTCTATCCAATTAGATCATTTATTTTATAAGACCAACACTATTCAAAGTAAAATTTGTGCCACGTATAAAAAGTCAATTAGAATGAATGACACAAGCAAAAGCTCTTCGGTACTTAAAGTCGGTGTCTCTTTTAACACGTTCATTGCTAAATTATCTAGGAGAAAGAGAATTTTATTAGAAACAGTATGATTATTTCTTGACAACTAACAATAAAACACTAACTAAATCAAACAACGCACACACTATTTATATACTCAGATGCTCTTGTCTCACTCACACACTTTCTAGAACATTCTTTCATCACCATGCATTAACTTCACATATATTTGGAATATTCTAGATTTATAAAAAAAATGAACATTATTAACATATAGAGAAAATCAATATAATCTAGAATATTCCAATGCTTTGAACATTCATTCAAAACGCGCTCACACACACAGTCGCGTCATTCATTTATTGCACACACATTCATCACTCAAATACATCCATTCCCACAATTATGACAAATAAAAATTTCCTGGAATCAAAATAACTCAGTGAAAGAAACACAGCATAAAACGCCACAGTACATCACACCCAGTATCCTTGTACATGACAAACACTTGTGCCACCCAAAAGTATATATTAGAGCATGTATGACGATCTCTGTCTATACCAGACAACAAAAATTCTCTATTCATTGATCGAGGATCATTCGCGTTGTGACCAAGGTAGAATCACACCAAGATCATCTTAATCCAGATCTCAGGCATTTCGGTATATTATACGTATTCCTTTATCCTGGCGGGTGTTTCATCCCCCAAGATGACATTCCGGGAACGTGGTTGAGTTCGGTTCAAAGGGCAAAGTCCCCAAGAGGCCAGCGTTCACGCCGAAGGGTCAAGAAGTGGGCGTAGACAGGTCTTGGCGTGTGCATCGCGTTTACTCGCAGACGGCAGAGTATTTTGCAGTGAAACTTGTAGCCACGGTCCCTTCCTCTCGCCTCGTTATCATCTTGGTCAAAGAAGGGTTTTCAGCTCGTCCGGTTGCAGGCAGCCTGCGGTGACACGAAGGAAAGGACTAAATTACACAGGTTAAATTGCTTGCACTTCCAACCAGCACACCCTGCCTATTATCATCCAATTTTCGTCTTTTGCAGACTAAATCTTCCGCCGTTTAGTAGATTCCGAGAAAGTGAAAACAACACAAGAAAAAGTATGAAAAAAGGAAAAAAATGAAACCAAAAGAACCAGAGAGAAAGAGAGAGAGAATGAGTTCGATGACGTCGGGGAATAACCGACGAGAGTCATCTTGACGCTTTTAGAGAAAAGGATCCTTCGTTAGCCAGCCGTCCCGTGTGTTTACCAATTTACACTCATCTGTTCGACACTCGAGCACGTGACGAACATCGCGCCGAGCATCGCGCCGAGCATCGCGATCTGTTTCGGTGACTTTCAAGGGTCGGAATTATTACTGATACATACCGCTGAAGGAGCACGGCCGAGTAGAACAGATGTAAGCAAACGCTGACCGACGCGCTAATTTCATTCGGGTTTCAGTAATACGTTGAAATTCATTCGTCGTTTTGATTGAACGTGCCGCTGAGGTAATCCGCCTATAGTTATTCGCCTATACACAATATTTACCGTTAACAGGATAAAAAATATTGAACTTTAAGGATATAGTAGGACCCCGATTAATCGAGTTGCTATCTTCCGCAATCTAGATTGTCCAGAGTCTCCTTTAAATTGAATCTCAATTTGGATTGTTAGACTGTACCTCGGAATATATACGATTGCATTTAACGTATATGTTTTGAAACATTTCTTCTCAAACCTTCGTGTTAAGGCCCCTTATAGCCTTCCCCTTTCGTTCGAGCCCTTAAACCACCGTAGCTTTAGATTTGTGTACACTTTTTATCTTTCTTTAAGACTTATTTGTACATTTGGTAGATTTTCTTAACAATAAGAGCCTTCGTCCCGTCGCGACTTGCAACCGTCCTTACGGTATTACAAGAAGGGACAGTGACAGCCATAAATCCCTGAACCCATAAGGCCCGCGATTCTTATTGCAGATTTTCCTTGTCTATTGTTCACATTTGGCGTCCAGTCACCAGCATTTTTAACTCTCTAGTCCGTCTGTTTTGGCATGTGTTATTAAGGCCAAAGCGTTTCTTGCTTTTTATCTGCCACGGTCGACGATTGCAAACGGGACGAATTAGTTATTAACATTAGCAACTAGGAAGATCCAAAAAGGGAGGGGACTGTGTCTCCCTTCCATAACCCTCAAGATGTAAAAAGGCCAACCAGAACGTTTTCACTCCCGCGAAGACCACTCTGCCGAGGTATCGTCGAAGACGATTCTGGGAGGTGCAGTCAGTACGAAGTACGGAGTAGGAAGTACGGAGTAAGAAGTACGGAGTAAGAAGTAGAAAGTAGGAATTTCGATCCACCATATAATATAACATTAAAACGTATCAAGTCACCACAAGAATCAAGTCCACTTCACCTCCTACTCATTTTCTGAGTTTTGTTCCCGATCATATCGGGTGGTCCTTCGAGACGTATAAGTTTTATAATTTGGCACAGCACGTGTAAACGCCTACAAAGCTCGATCACCATTACGGTATCCACGAGTACCTAACATTTCGTTTATCTAGATTGTTAATCTCCGAATGAAATAATTTCATTATTGGTATAATCGAAGTTCCACTGTACTTGTATAATCAGATATAAGAATATTTGTAATAATGATCTAGCGGTTGGAATGCTATGAATGAATTCGAGTATTATTCCAATTCAAAGAATCTTCAAAATTTTCAACAATTTTTTTGTTCATACAGAAATAATGTAAGTAATAAATTGCGTCGTCGAAACTTCTTTCGTATTAATAGTTTCGAGGGTCTCTTTGTTAGCATTAGTCCTCTGTTCCTTCACACTTTATTCCTATGTAGGTCTCTCTCTCTCTCTCTCTCTTTGACTATAGTTCTGACTGAAGTTCTGATTACATTATGTACCATAATATGATACTCCTTTAATGTCTCGCCGAATCACCAGAGATTAATTATCTCACCAGAGAAAAAAACATTTATCTTCCGCCTTGAAATAAAATAATCAGAAATTTGAGTATTTCAAAAAATTTCCTTGAATCCATAAATTATGGAGTTATCGATTCGCAGAAAAATATTTAGAGAAACGGATGAAAAATGTGAATCATTTTTGTATGAAATAGTGTGTCTTTGCTTTGCATTTTCATTTATTAATTATATTTTTGTGTTATCGCATTAACGAGCATGCGGTACGTGGTTACGAATAATTACAATTACGCAAATTATATTCGAACGCATGTAGACCCCCAAAATTTTACATAATTTTCCTGGTTTGCCTACCAGTTTCGTAGTTTGCTTTGTTCGTTACTAACAGTCCGAATTTGAAATAAACGCTAATTACATCGCGTTATCATTATTTAATTAGTGGAAATATGTCCTTAAATATTGTTATTTATTAATAATTATGTATTTGCAACCAAACATACGCGAGAGTGACAATGCCTTAAAAGATTGAACAACCAAAATCTTTAAGTTAAGAAATTAATTTCAATTGAATATTTCAGCAATAACTCCGCCCAAAATTTTTTAATTGTACGTGTGTATGTATGCTTTAATTTCAAAGCCTACTTTACAATACTCAAACATATTTGCTCACGTTTTTAAACATTTCACCCTCATAACAGCTTATAAGCTATTGATTACTTAAGTAACGTGTTAATTCGCCGAAACATCGTTCATGTAAACTTCATAATTGGCAGAGAATCCACCAAAAAAATCCGTAAAGGAATCTTTACTATTCACGTTTCATTATTTTCTTAGAAAATCAGTTTATGTCTCGTCTTTTATTTATTTCAAAATTTATACGTATTTTTCATTTCAATCATGTGTTTTTATAATCTAACATCACGACGACGCGAAACGTATTTCGAAAATCCCATGTAATCAACCGAGTCACTGTGTTCATGTTAACGAGCTCCGAGATACTGTTCTAACATGCGCAGGCGAATGAATATGAACCGAAATTGTTTAACACTGTGAACCAGTCCGTTGAAATCTCTATGCTTACTACTTGATGGACGCGATATGTGGTGTTTGTTGTGCAGGACCGCCTACTACCACTTCAACCGCTACAACGAAGCTGCTGCACATAATGGAGAACCAAGCGCTAGACAACTCAGAGCCTGGCGATGGTGGTGGTAAGGCTTGTAAATTTCTCCTCGTATATTCACGATAACACCACCATAAGCCACCATTGTTCATGAGATTTGGAAACTTTGACAAGATCGATAGTATTGTCTTTCTTGCGTGCGAGAATTCCAATTCCCAAGCATTCCACGCTTGAATTTCCTCTTGTAACGCCTGAGAATCGCTTTAGTACCCCGGGGCCGTCGTTTCTTAACAAAGAATCCGAAGGATGCACTGACAGAGAGCACACCGCCGAACGATATGTTTTTCTTGTTTTCTCCATTTCTTCCTAAACCCCTTTTCCGCGGGCTGAACGACCGGCTGGGGGGAATTCACGTGTGTATTGGGTGAAAGGATTATACTGTTCGAGCGAGAAACAGTATCTTTGAAACAACGGGTACGGATTGGATGGCACAGCGCATCGAGGCCGATGCCTTTTCAATGTTGGATCTTCATGTTTTCGCAGACAGATTTATAGAGAAATGTTTTATAGTAATGTTTGAACAGGAGAACCGAGACACCGATAAATTGATCGGAATGTTTTGTCAAGGTTGTGTGGGGTGCGACACGTAAGGCCGGATACCGCAGGTATACTCGGACCGTTACGACCAGGTCGCTTGGACCCAGATAGTTCACAGGCAGCCGATGATGGCCTGCAGAATCATGCCCCGTGTTGACGGAATTAGTACTTAAGACGATTGTAACGTCTTTTTTAGAAGAGTGTAGTTTCGCGAGTTGAGAGAAGCAGGTTCGAGTGGACTAGCATAGATAGTGTAGTTACGTAGTTGGGAGGAGCAAGACAGAGTGAACTAGCGTGGAACAGTGTATTTTAAGAATATAGAGTAGTAGATCAGAGTAGACCAGCGTGGAACAGCGTTTTATGCGTAGAATAGATTAAGACACATAGTTTAGTTTAATTCTAGTCGCTTATAGTCCATTGCAATAAACATACAAATACACCTAGGCTTGTTTTCGCCAAAACCCCCGCTAATCCCGCAGTTGTTCGAGCAAGAAAAATCGTTCGTATTATTACCACTTTGCACTCGAGAGGCGACTATCGGTTGAAATTTCGTTCAATACAACAAAATTAGAAATTATACAAATTCAATATTAAATTCTGTACGAACCAACGAAACACTGAAATAAAATAGTTCTGTCCTTGAATGTATGCAACATTTTTCCTTACTTTTCAGAAAGTGTCGTTGATATTTCATTAGAAAATAATCAGTGTTTATGATAAAAAATATCGTTGAATGCAAAGGATTAAGTATCTGTCATCAAAGTTATTTTCATATGCAATCTGGACGACTTTCATATGCAAATTTGACCAATTCTACGGGAAATAGAACGAGGCAGTAGACAATTAGCCTGTCAATAGGTGTAGGATATGGTGATTCTTTATGTTGTGTTTGCAAAATTAAAGAATAAAAGTAACTTTGCTCATGTACCGTTGAAAAAATCTTTAAATAATTTGTATTTTTGTCATTTTTTTGTCATGTATTAAATGTATTTTATATTTTATAACAGATAAATTATTTCATTTCTTCTATGACATAAGAATATTTATTATTTTGATAATATTTTGTTTTGCTATTGTATATTGTTCTTTCGTAATTTTTATTTTGAAAACTGTTATAAAAATCTGTGAAAGTTTGTTGTCTCTGTCTATAGAAAATCGATTCCATATTGATTAAATAAAATGGTCCCTTTTAAGCTCGATTTGAATATGCGAAGCAGGTTTGTTTGTGTTCGTTTGTGTCGCGATGTACCGCACGAATTTTCGATTCTATTCGGGGTCGTAAATCCCAAAGTGACCTTTCGGTACGCGGCTCTTCCTGATACTTGTCCGCCAAATTAATCTTGGACAATTTAATCGACAGCGTTAGATCCCGACTGATGGACTAGTTATTTCGACTGTATTATTCCCAAAATTTATAAACGTACTCGCGATGTCCCAAACGACGGACTTGCTTAGTGTTAATCTTCTCCTTTGATACTCTCGTCTGACCTCTGTAACGTAGTGATGTGTGATTGAGTTGTGTGACTGTTGTGACGTGGCTGTATGATTGTATCTGGTGATTTCTGTATCGTCTGAACTGTGTTGTGCTGTCGCGACTGTGATTGTGTTATGTATCTGGTGAACTGAGCACTCACCTTTTTATAATTATTGGTGCTCAATCGGGGCACCTCGAGGTCGTTCCAAGTGCGCTGATTGGGTTTTCCGATTTTTAAATCAGCGCACATTTAAAAATTTGATGTTTTGGAAGGCCTTTCAGCCAGCCCCCTTTTTAGCAGGGGTGGTGGCAATGTCGATGCTTGGGGGGTTTCTCGAAGGTTCGACAATGATGCAAAAATATTTCTTCCAGGTCGACTTTTGACTGCAAGGGCCGTTACGCACGTGTTTCAGTAGACCCTTCGGAAATTCCGGGTTTATGACATGGCTAATCTTTAGGACGGACGAATTGAACAAACCTAAAGTCATTGTACAAAAATGAAAATGACTCGAAAAATAAACTTTACTGTCGTGAACATAAAATTGCCGGTAATTGAGATAAATTCTAAAAAAATTTTCGAGAAAATTAAACACGGCAACAATCTTTTTGTCACGTCCATGTCATAAACTAACCTTCGAGGATTTTTGTCCCAGTGTGTTCCGCATCGGACGGAACAAGGTTGAAAGAATTTTTATAATTACACACGTGAATTTCATGTCAGTGGAAGAGGTTGTTTGTTTCTAAACACACTTGGAACAGCTCACCTATGGCATCGTGTTTTCTGCACTACATTGCACTTTGACACCTGTTTTGAGGCACCAGCACTGCTCGATGTTCTTGATAATGTTAGAATAATTGTAGGTGCAATCGTAAATCCTAGGTTTCACTGCTTGCATTTAATCTCCGACTTTATCTACATCCTCTACCTCTAATTACACGGGAAACGTGAAAGAGAAGAATGAAATACTTGAAAAATATCCGTCTCGTTTTTATTTAAAATCCATTTTATCTTCATTTTAAACACAGAAGAGTATAAGGTAAATATTAACTCGTAATCATTTCGAGTAACCCACAATATTATATGAGTCTCGCAATTATTATTTCCTTATTACTGATTTAAGGAACGTCTAGAAAAATATTCAAATCCTTATGAATATTCCAAAGATGTTAATTGAAATTCACAATTTATAACTATTTTGAAATTATCACTGATAATAAGACAATTTTGTTTGCTTTTGCTACAGTAATGTTTCTTACAATGTAATCTTTCTTCTTACATTTTTTCTCAATCGACGGCCAATTTTATCTTCTCAAAGTTCTCGAGAGATACTTCCGCATTTCAAGCTCGCTGAATACTAATAACGATCGTAAAATGCTTCCTTATTCCACTAACACTCTCGTTTTCCGTTTAACAAGTAAAACAATTGTGTGGCGATTATGTCAGTTACACCGGTAGATTAATTTGCATATCATATGACATAACGCGGCACAATTACCAGACCTGATAAATAAATAAACAAGAGCTAATTTCCTTAACGGGGCACGTAACTAAGTTACGTTTCTTCATAAATATTCAATCAGGATTAATGTTTGTAGGAATCTACGCGCGGTAAATAAGGTCCGTAGAAACGCTAACGGCTTCCAGAGAAATGAAATACAAACAACCATTGAATAAATGTGCCAGGAGTATACTTTAGCTCCAGAAAAGATCTTTTCTTCCATTAAACAATTTCATTCAACATTACGCTTGACGAGAATTGTAAAGACGCGATCAAACTTAATGAATGTTGTAAATCCGTATTAGTAGATGCGCTACTATATACTATAATAATATAAAATAACTAAAACAAATTGAATATGTTAGAAGTACGTTGTAAATATTTGTAATTAATTCTCAAAAAATAATCAAATATTTTTCAACTGTCCGATTCACGTGTCAAACACCAATAATAAAAATAATTTAGAAACCCATATCACATTGAAAAATGTTCTTTATTCGAAACAAAGAAAGTTTCTTATTAATGGATTTGAAGATTAAATCAAATTCTCTTTCTTCATTCCTATGATTTACTTAATTTACTTGGTAAAAAAGAATGATGAAGGAACAATTATTATCCTAAACGCAATTTTACTTACATTGTCATCCTATATGTTAGTGACAACGAATTACCGTGAAGTAAACTCTTTTCTCTTAACTTCCCGACGAAATTTCTCACGTTCGCAACGGTGAAGCGACTCATTCGTAATGAAGTACTTTAAAAACGAATAGCCGAGTTCCGCGGTCGATATTATAAACGGATCATTCGAAATCTACTTCACCGAATCGATTTTTCATGATGCAATATTGCCTATGTTGCATTTCTCATTTCCTCGACAGAAGTCTTATTTCCTTTCTGCTGCTCGGGCAAAAAAGATGCCCGGATGATTTTTTATGTAGTGTTAACATTTTTTTGTTTCTTAAATAAGCAGTGCTCCGCCGAAGCAACTTATCCGTCTGCTCTAAATATTATTCGCAGAGATTAATTTAAATTTCAACGAATAAAAACTGATTAAATCGTTATTACCATTTACTATGCCAATAAACTTTTTTCAGTCTTGTAATTCCCGAATTCAATGTTACCATTAAAATCAATACACACATATTATCAAAGAAAAATTACTCGTATATTAAAACATGTAAATTAACCATTAACCTTTGCTTTTCAACTTTTGCCGGCGAAACTACATATTTATTGTAATTTCTTTCTCTTCGATATTACGATCCTAATATTCGAATCTAATTAATCTAATTAATATTAACCCTGAACAGTCGACAAGCTTTACTCTAAGCAAATGTAAAATATGTTTATTTCATTTCCATTTATTATACTTGTTACAATTTGAGTCGTGTTTTCTATTTTATTATATCAAAAGTCCTATCAATGTTTCCTTTACAGTTCAGTTAATATCCTGATGTTTTCTAGGTGAAGTAAGTATACCTGAAAAATATTTTACCGTTAAAAGTTGAAATAGTAATTGTTCGGTTGTTGGTAAAAAACCATTGGTATTCGTTAATTACGAGGAAAAACGGAAGAATGAGGGAACGAGAGAGAACTAATCTGTTCGCTTTAAGGTGAATCGAGCATCACTGAAGGTTAATAAACTAGAGGCAACAGCATAAGTTCTATATAGTTTCGGGGGGGATGAAGGGGAGCGCGGCGTTTCCTCTTGAAGCTCATCAACTGGCATTATCTGAGCTACGCTAATAAATAGCCGAAGTTGAGATTGCGTTAATACGTTCTCCTCTTATACACTTTTGCTGGAATTTCTCCTCCGTGATATGCTATCAAGCACCCCGCCGATTCATATCGCCGGGAATGCGTTAAAGTTCCCGAATGCGCATCAAAGGGAGCCAGCACGTAACTTTCTGCCCCCGAAAATTTGTAATACCGCTAAAACCCGGCCGGAAAAAAGGAACGCGAGGGAATTCTTAAGTAACTTTTATTGTCGGGGGATTACGGAATTCGAACCCCCGTTGAGTCGCGAGATCCCCGGAAGCGTACCGGGACGCTTTTTGTATCGAGAAAGAGCCAGTAAAGTAACTTTTAACCGCGTTTTGCCGAGTAACAGTACACCTTGTCATTATTTTGTATCGCGTAATTTCTATCGGTAAACGTATTATTCTTTTATTCAACGTAATTGTTGTAACAAAGATGAAAATACTTTAAAATATCAATATTAACAGTATTTTTACAGAATGTGTCAGATGATACCTTTTAAAACTTCAAATTATTTTCGGAGTTTAATCATTTTTCGTCAATTCATTTGATGACTTTTCCTAGAACGTTTATAAAATGAATTTAGCGGTATATGTATTGTATTAAATCATTTCGAAGATTTTATAAAAATCACCTTTCAGTAAAGCTAGGTACCTATATACAAAAGAACGATAACAGTGGTGTTACAAATGAAAACATAATGTTGGAGAGTAAGATTACTATTCTATACTATGGTTACTATATTAGAATGAAGAATAATTTCGTGAATAATGGGAATATCTGTATAACTAAGTACAATTTTGAATATTTATTCCGTTGACATTGATATTAGAGTACTGGTCTGATAATTAAACGAATTCCTTTAACAAAATTTATTATATATTTTTAGCTTGAAAGGAATTATACGCATTTATTTTAAAAACTTTCTTTTTTACATTCTCACGTAACGGTACCACCTTGCGAATGAAATGGGCAACGCGGACAAAGATGTTTAAAAGTTAATTTTTACTTGTTATTAAGTTAACACAACTGGACGGTGCTTCTGACAATGTACACTAATTAGCCATGGAAGTTGGATCTAGTTTGCATGGGGTAGCAAAGTTGGTAGATCATTATCATATGGATATATTTGCTAAATATACAGAATCAACGGTATTCAATTTGGACGCACTGCTGCTTCTACGTGTAATTATGGACTATCTGAAGTCCTATTAAAAACGATTTATTAATCACTCGATATTGCCGCATTACAAATATTCTATATTGATTTTCAAGCGATCGAGTATATACCATGGATTTTAAAAACTACACGCATAAAGAAGATAATTTAAAGAGTGCAGAAACCAACCAGTCTAAGGCACATATTCGTTTTGTCTAGTAAAAGAATTTTTATTGCTAGAACTTTGAGTGAGTAAAGTAGATAACTGCTGTACTGCCCACAGAATTAAGTCGTAAGCACAATGGTAAATAATTGCATTATTAACCGATAGTTTTAACAACAGAAACACTCTTTAAATGTTTCAAATGAAAATGTGTCTTACACCGACCA